TTATTTTTACTGGTTAACAACAATTTTTTGGAAGCACAGCAGGTGCCACTCCTTGCCGGGGAAAAAATGTTTTTTTTTATATATATTTATATATATATATATTTATTTTTTTTTTTTTTTTTTTTTTTTTTCTTTTTTTTTTTTATACATTTTTTTTTTTATTTTTTAAAAATAAAAATATATATATTTTTTTTCTCTCTTTCTTTTTTTTTTTTTATTATATTTATATTTTTAATTTTATATATATTTTGATTGCAAACATATATTTTTTTAAATTTTTTTTTTAACATAATTTATATTAAAAAAAACAAAACAAGACAAATAAATAAATATAAATTTTTACACACACACATATATATATTTATATATTTTTTTATTATTTTATATTTATATTTATATATATATTACCTTTAATTAAAACAAAACATTAATAAAAAATATAAATATATATATATATATATATATATATTTTTTTTTTTTTTTTTTTTTTTTTTTTTTTTTTAAAGATAATTTAGTTATTTTTATTTAAAAAAATTTTTTTTTTTTTTTTATATATATTTATTTTTTAAATTTTTTTTTAACAATTTTTGTTTTTTTTAAGAAAGCGCCCATTTTGCGCGTCCGGCGAAACCTTTTTTTTTTTTTTTTTTTTTTTTTTCTTTGTCACCCTGCCTGTCGTTTTTTTTTTTTTGTCCCTTCTTTGGACAGGCTTGTCCGCCTGTTTTTTTTTTTTTTTTTTGTTTTTTTTTTATTTTTTTTGCATTTTTTTTTTTTTTTTTTTTTTTTTTACAATGGTTTTTGTCTTTTGTACACAGGCGGCCCCTTTTCCCCATTTTTTGAAATCAGTTTTGTTTTTTAATTTCCATCCCTCCTTTTTTTTTTTCTTTTTTCCCCAGAATTTTTTTTTTCCTTTTTTTTTCCTTTTTTTTTTTTCTTTTTTTTTTTTTATTTTTTTTTTATTTTGCACACTTTTGCTTTTTTTTTTTTTTTTTTTTTTTTGCAAGATACTTTATTTTTTTTTTTTTTTTAAAAAAAAATTTTTTTTTTTTTTTATTTTTCTTATTTTTAAATTTTTTTTCCCCCACCGCCGCAGCCCATTTTTTTGACTAACATCCCCTTTTTTTTTTTTTTTTTATTTTTTTTTTTTTTTATTCCTTTTTTTTTATTTTTCAACTTTTTTTTTTTTTTTTATCCCATATCCCTTTTTTTTTTTTTTTTTTTTTTTTTTTTTTTTTTTTTTTTTTTTTTCATTTTTTTTTTTTTTATTTTTTTTTTTTTGATTTTTAACAAAACCCCAGGATTTGAGGGTGAGCGGAACGAACGACCGACCAACCCCCCCACCACCACCACCAAATTTTTTTTTTTTTTTTTTTTTTTTTTTTTTTTTTTTTTTTTTTTTTTTTTTTTTTTTTTTTTTTTTTTTTTTTTGTATTTTTTTTTTTGATTTTTTTGGAATTTTTCCGTTTATCAGCGCTGAGCCTGGATTTTTTTTTTTTTTATTTTTTTTTTTATAAAAGGTTCATTTTTATAAATTTTTTTTGCAACGTTTTTTTTTTTATTTTTTTTTTTTATTTTTTGCTTTTTTTTCTTTTTTTTTTTTTTTTTTTGCAACCTGCCTATCTTGCATTTTTCACGCCATTTTTTTTCAACCGGATTTTTTATTTTTTTTTTTATTTTTTTATTTTTTTCTCTTTGCCATTTTTTTTTTTTTAATTTTTTTTTTTTTTTTTTTTTTACTTTTTTTTTTTTTTTTTATTTTTTTTTTTTTATTACAAAAAAAAAAAACATTTTTTTTTTTTTTTTTTTTTTTTTTATTTTTTTTTTTTTTTACAATTTTGCAGCAATTTTTTTTTTTTTTTTATTTTTGCCCGTTTTTTCATAAATATGAATAGTAATTTTTTTATCCTCCGGTATTGCTTTTTTTTTTGCAGAATTGACACTTTTGTTTTTTTTTTTTTTTTTTTTTATTGCTGAAATTTTCATTTTTTTTCTTTTTTTTAGGGGGACGACTTTTTTATTTTTTTTATTTTTTTTTTTTTTGATTTCGGGAACAGATATTTTTTTTTTGAAAAGTGATTTTGACATTTTTTTTAATTGGTTAATTTAATTTAATTTTTTTTTTTTTTATTTTTTTTTTTTTTTTTTTATATATTTTTTTTTTTTTTTTTTTTTTTTTTTTTTATTTTTTTTTTTTTTTTTTTTTTTTTTTTATTTCTTTTCTTATTTTTTTTTTTTTTTTTTTTTTTTTTTTTATTTTTTTATTTTTATTTTTTATTTTATTTTTTTTTTTTTTTTTTTATTTTATTTTATTTTTTTATTATTTACAGGATTTTATATTATATTTTTTTTTTCTTCTTTTTTTTATTTTTTTTTTTTTTTTTTTTTTTTTTTTTATTTTTTTTTTTTTTTTTATATATTTTTTTATCTATTTATATTTTTATCTATTTATTTCTTTAAATTATTTATTATTATTTCTATCTATGTATATATATTGTAAAATATAATATATATATATATATATATATATATATATCTATGTATATATATATATATATATATATATTATATATAGTATAATAGATAGATAGATAGATAGATAGTTTTCTCTCTCTATATATTTTTTTTTTATTATTATTTATTATTTTTTATATATATATATATTTTTTTTTATTATATATATTAATATTATTATTATACAGGATTTAATATATTATATATATATATATATATATATATATATATTATAATATTATATATATATATATATATATATATATATATATATCTTTCTCTCTCTCTCTATATATATATTTTTTATTATTATATATATTATTATTATTATTATTATTATACAGGATTTATATATTTATTATTATACAGGATTTATAATATTATTATTATTATTATACAAATACAGGATTTATATATTATTATTATTATACAGGATTTATATATTATTATTATTATACAGGATTTATATATTATTATTATACAGGATTTATATAGCGCCAGCAGTTTGCTCGGCACTTTATAATATAGCGGAGACAATACCAATAGCAACAATACAGTTCAATCACAAGAGATATTTCTAGATCGATACCTATATTAGTCATAAAACGTTCCACTTTGTGGTCCTAATCACTTCACCTCTTTCCCGTCACCCACCACACTCCTAACTTTTGCACCAGCCCCACACGGCCCAATTTTGGTTTGCAACACACTCTGTGACCAATCACGAGTAAAAGCAATACCTAGCAGATACAAAAAAATTTGACACGGGCCGCCAGAGGTTTACCGTCATGCCGGTAAAAATTTCTGTGACCAATCAAAGATTGTTCTCTTCCCTTGTAGAAAGGAAAAACTACGCCTTTCTGCTGCGCGTGTGCATCGGCACGTAAAATTGGATTTGTCGGGGAAATCTGTGAAAGGCTCAGGTGCGTGCTGGTAAATTAGAGAAAGGTTTCGCTTTTTATCGGATTGGTTCCTTAGGTCCTTGGATTTTTATCTGGCCGTTTAGTGCACAGAGCAAGTATGATGTGCAACGGGCAGGAAATCAAAGCAGCCAATCAAATTTCGGATTACTAGAGGCAGATCAGATTTTAGATCATTTCTGATTGGTTACTATAGGGTGCTGCACTTTGAGTACTGCTGCGTCTTTCTTTACGTCACTGAACCAGTCAGTCTATGGACTCCACACTAATGCTACTCTGTGTCTTAGGATACAACAACAGTTAATCATTAATGTTTTTTATATATAAATATATATATATATATATTTTTTTTAAGCCTTGAATTACCTTTTTTCAAGACTGCAGGCATAAACTGCGCCGGATTTGCATAGGTAATGGGAAACTGGGATCCACAGAAAATGTAAAATCGTATTTATTTCAGGTACTTTACTGCCTGTCCACTTTACATATATACTGTATACTGTGCTTTAGTCCCCCCCGCCCCCAAGGAGCGCACAATCGAATGTCCCTAACTCACATTCATATATAAACGTACTGGGGACTATTTAGATAGGAGCCAACTAACCTACCTGCATATCTTTGGAGCGTGGGGAGCAGGGGCGGACTGACCATTTTGAAACTCGGGCAGTGCCTGAGGGCCCGGGGTCAGTAGGGGGCCCCATGAGATGCCCCTGGTACCTTTTTCATAGGCTTTTTTGAGTTTGGGCAAGGACACAAGGGCCCCATGGTCCCCTATTGCCCGGGGGCCCCATGAGTTGTCAGTCCACCCCTGGTGGGGAGGACACCAGGGTATCCGGAGGAACACCATGCAGGCACAGGGAGAACATGCAAACTGCAGGCTGGAAGTGCCGCGGTTGGGATTTGAACTAGCAACCCGAGTGCAATGGGAAATTTGGGAGAGTGTCTTGCTAAGTTTTGTTGCTGGTTTTTTTGGTTTTAGCTCCTTAACAAACCATTCTCAACTGGGGTTCCGTGGAACCCCAAGTTTCCTTTAGAACTTGTTAGGGACTTCTTGAGCTGTGACTAATTGACCTCCCATTAGATGGTGCCTGCTTAGTACCAGGGCCGACACCACTTGACAGTGCCAGCTGCATGACCCCGATGATCTGTCTGTAAGGGTAGCATTCTGACCACCACTGTCATTACCCCAAGGGCCATCAGTGTAAACAGCAGTTTTTCACACTGACTACTAATGTAAACAGTATTCTTCCTACAGACCATCAATGTAAGAAACATTCTTCTTATAGACCACCCATGTAAGGAGCATTCTTCCTACAAACCACCAATGTAAGGAGCATTCTCCCTACAGACCTCCAATGTAAGGAGCATTCTTCCTACAGACCTCCAATGTAAGGAGCATTCTCCCTACAGACCTCCAATGTAAGGAGCATTCTCCCTACAGACCACCAATGTAAGGGGCATTCTCCCTACAGACCACCATTGTAAGGAGCATTCTTCCCCCTGACCACCAATGTAAGGAGCATTCTTCCCCCTGACCAGCGTTGTAAGGAGCATTCTTCCCCCTAACCACCATTGTAAGGAGCATTCTTCCCCCTGACCACCAATGTAAGGAGCATTCTTCCCACTAATCACCAATGTAAGTGACATTCTTCCCCCTGACCACCAATGTAAGGAGCATTCTTCCCACTGACCACCAATGTAAGGAGCATTCTTCCCACTGACCACCAATGTAAGGAGCATTCTTCCCACTGACCACCAATGTAAGGGGCATTCTTCCCACTGATCACCAATGTAAGGAGCATTCTCCCTACAGACCTCCATGTAAGGAGCATTCTCCCTACAGACCACCAATGTAAGGGCATTCTCCCTACAGACCACCATTGTAAGGAGCTTTCTTCCCCCTGACCACCAATGTAAGGAGCATTCTTCCCCTGACCACCGTTGTAAGAAGCATTCTTCCCCCTAACCACCATTGTAAGGAGCATTCTTCCCACTGACCACCAATGTAAGGAGCATTCTTCCCACTGATCACCAATGTAAGTGACATTCTTCCCCCTGACCACCAATGTAAGGGACATTCTTCCCACTGACCACCAATGTAAGGAGCATTCTTCCCACTGACCACCAATGTAAGGAGCATTCTTCCCACAGACCACCAATGTAAGGAGCATTCTTCCCTACAGACCCTCCAATGTAAGGAGCATTTCTTCCCAATGACCTCCAATGTAAGGAGCATTCTTCCCACTGACCACCAATGTAAGGAGACATTCTTCCTACAGACCTCCAATGTAAGGGACATTCTTCCCACTGACCACCAATGTAAGGAGCATTCTTCCCACTGACCACCAATGTAAGGAGCATTCTTCCTACAGACCTCCAATGTAAGGAGCATTCTTCCCACTGACCACCAATGTAAGGAGCATTCTTCCTACAGACCACCATTGTAAGGAGCATTCTTCCTACAGACCACCAATGTAAGGAGCATTCTTCCTACTGACCCCTAAGGTGAGGAACATTCTCTCTACTGACCACCATTGTAAGGATCATTTTTCCTAATGACCCCCAAGGTAAGGGCCATTTTTCCCACAACCCCCCCATTAGTTAATTTTAGCAATGATACTCCAAGCGACACGGCATCCAGGAGCTCTGTGGCGGCCAGCTTCCAGGAATTGATCACCAGCCACTTTCATTGGCTGGGCTGAGATGACGTCACATCTGCACATGCCCAATAGTTCAGTCAGCTCGGCATTGCTGAATTTGTACAACGAGGTGCACATGCTCCCTGTACAGGGGTGGACAGGCAAGTAACTTAAATGCAGAAGAGACGTAGCATGCCTGCTAGGCAAAAAAACTATCCTGCCTGTTTGCCCATTTTTAATTTTTGCCATAAAGTTCCACTTTATTGTGTCGGATGTATAGTTGTCAGCGTACAGGACGGCGTACAAAAGGCGAATGTAAGTGCTAAGATGGCGAAACCAAACCCAATGGCGGTTTGCACATGGAAGGCCAAATGGAAGTGGTGGGTGGTTTCGGTCAAACTTCTGTATGGTGGATGGAAAGGTGGTAACAGACACGACTGGTACACAAGGTCTGTATGGTGGATGGAAATGTGGTAACAGACATGACTGGTACACAAGGTCTGTATGGTGGATGGAAATGTGGTAACAGACATGACTGGTACACAAGGTCTGTATGGTGGATGGAAATGTGGTAACAGACATGACTGGTACACAAGGTCTGTATGGTGGATGGAAATGTGGTAACAGACATGACTGGTACACAAGGTCTGTATGGTGGATGGAAAAATGCGACTGGTAACAAGGTCTGTATGGTGGATGGAAATGTGGTAACACATGACTGGGACACAAGGTCATATGGTGGATGGAAATGTGGTAACAGACACGACTGGTACACAAGGTCTGTATGGTGGATGGAAATGTGGTAACAGACACGACTGGTACACAAGGTCTGTATGGTGGATGGAAATGTGGTAACAGACATGACTGGACACAAGGTCTGTATGGTGGATGGAAATGTGGTAACAGACACGACTGGGACACAAGGTCTGTATGGTGGATGGAAATGTGGTAACAGACAGGACTGGGACACAAGGTCTGTATGGTGGATGGAAATGTGGTAACAGACACGACTGGGACACAAGGTCTGTATGGTGGATGGAAATGTGGTAACAGACAGGACTGGGACACAAGGTCTGTATGGTGGATGGAAATGTGGTAACAGACACGACTGGGACACAAGGTCTGTACGGTGGATGGAAATGTCGTAACAGACACGACTGGGACACAAGGTCTGTATGGTGGATGGAAATGTGGTAACAGACACGACTGGGACACAAGGTCCATATGGTGGATGGAAATGTGGTAACAGACACGACTGGGACACAAGGTCTGTTATGGTAGGATGGAAATGTGGTAACAGACAGGACTGGGACACAAGGTCTGTACGGTGGATGGAAATGTGGTAACAGACAGGACTGGGACACAAGGTCTGTACGGTGGATGGAAATGTGTGGTAACAGACAGGACTGGGACACAAGGTCTGGTGGATGGAAATGTGGTAACAGTCAGGACTGGTACACAAGGTCTGTACAGTGGTAACAGTAACAGACACGACTGGGACACAAGGTCTGTATGGAGGATGGAAATGTGGTAACAGACACGACTGGGACACAAGGTCTGTACAGTGGATGGAAATGTGGTAACAGACAGGACTGGTACACAAGGACTGTATGGAGGATGGAAATGTGGTAACAGACAGGACTGGGACACAAGGACTGTATGGAGGATGGAAATGTGGTAACAGACACGACTGGTACACAAGGTCTGTATGGAGGATGGAAATGTGGTAACAGACAGGACTGGGACACAAGGACTGTACGGTGGATGGAAATGTGGTAAACACACACGACTGGTACACAAGGTCTGTATGGTGGATGGAAATGTGGTAACAGACAGGACTGGGACACAAGGTCTGTACGGTGGATGGAAATGTGGTAACAGATACGACTGGGACACAAGGTCTGTACAGTGGATGGAAATGTGGTAACAGACACGACTGGGACACAAGGTCTGTACAGTGGATGGAAATGTGGTAACAGACAGGACTGGGACACAAGGTCTGTACGGTGGATGGAAATGTGGTAACAGACAGGACTGGGACACAAGGTCTGTACGGTGGATGGAAATGTGGTAACAGACACGACTGGGACACAAGGACTGTACGGTGGATGGAAATGTGGTAACAGACACGACTGGGACACAAGGTCTGTATGGTGGATGGAAATGTGGTAACAGACACGACTGGGACACAAGGTCTGTATGGTGGATGGAAATGTGGTAACAGACACGACTGGGACACAAGGTCTGTACGGTGGATGGAAATGTAACAGACACGACTGGGACACAAGGTTTGCTATCCCACCGGAATGACACATAACGGGTTTGGCAAGACATCGAATGTCTCCCATGCATGTGCCTTTGGTGAATCTGGTGTAGAAGAACCCTTTCCTGGAGGTTGCACGCTCTACATGACAGTGATAGCAGATCTTGGACAGTCCGCACGTCAACATTTCTCTTATCTAATAAATATATTTAGCTCAGTTACTAAGGCAAATGTCAAAAGTCAAGGTGCTGTATCCCTCTGCGGCCAATCAGTTTACAGCTTTCCTGAGCGCATTCAGCAAGCAGAAAGTGGAATGTAATGTCTTTTTTTTTTTATTTGCATTACTGTCCATATTTTTATAAATCATATAATTTCTATAGCTCTGACATACCGTATACCATGGTGCTGGACACAGAACACAGGGCCATTGACATCAGCCTCTGAACCAGAGGAGCTTTCACTCTAATATCTCCACCACAATCCCACACTATGATTATTTTTATATATTTAGTCCTCATGCACACGGGACGTTTTTACAGCGGCTGTTTTTGGCTTTTGACGTTATTTTCTACAGCCAGTAAACCCCCCCAGCATGTTATCCTATGTGTCCATCCCCAGCATGTTATCCTATGTGTCCATCCCCAGCATGTTATCCTATGTGTCCATCCCCAGCATGTTATCCTATGTGTCCATCCCCGGCATGTTATCCTATGTGTCCATCCCCGCATGTTATCCTATGTGTCCATCCCCGGCATGTTATCCTGTGTGTCCATCCCCGGCATGTTATCCTATGTGTCCATCCCCGGCATGTTATCCTATGTGTCCATCCCCGGCATGTTATCCTATGTGTCCATCCCCGGCATGTTATCCTATGTGTCCATCCCCGGCATGTTATCCTATGTGTCCATCCCCAGCATGTTATCCTACGTGTCCATCCCCGGCATGTTATCCTATGTGTCCATCCCGGCGGCATGTGTCCATCCCTATGTTATCCTATGTGTCCATCCCCGGCATGTTATCCTATGTGTCCATCCCCGGCATGTTATCCTATGTGTCCATCCCCGGCGTGTTCTCCTATGTGTCCATCCCCGGCGTGTTATCCTATGTGTCCATCCCCGGCGTGTTATCCTATGTGTCCATCCCCGGCATGTTATCCTATGTGTCCATCCCCGGCGTGTTATCCTATGTGTTCATCCCCGGCGTGTTATCCTATGTGTCCATCCCCGGCATGTTATCCTATGTGTCCTCCCGGCATGTTATCCTATGTGTCCATCCCCGACGTGTTATCCTATGTGTCCATCCCCGGCGTGTTATCCTATGTGTCCATCCCCGACGTGTTATCCTATGTGTCCATCCCCGGCGTGTTATCCTATGTGTCCATCCTTGGCATGTTATCCTATGTGTCCATCCCCGGCATGTTATCCTATGTGTCCATCCCCGACGTGTTATCCTATGTGTCCATCGTGTTATCCTATGTGTCCATCCCCGACGTGTTATCCTATGTGTCCATCCCCGGCGTGTTATCCTATGTGTCCATCCCCGACATGTTATCCTATGTGTCCATCCCCTGGCGTGTTATCCTATGTGTCCATCCCCGGTGTGTTATCCTATGTGTCCATCCCCGGCATGTTATCCTATGTGTCCATCCCCGGCATGTTATCCTACGTGTCCATACCCAGCATGTTATCCTACGTGTCCATCCCCGACATGTTATCCTTGGTGTCCATCCCCGGCGTGTTATCCTATTGTCCATCCCCGGGTGCTGTGTCCATCCCCGGCATGTTATCCTACGTGTCCATCCCCGACATGTTATCCTAGTGTCCATCCCCGGCGTGTTATCCTATGTGTCCATCCCCGGCGTGTTATCCTATGTGTCCATCCCCGGTATGTTATCCTATGTGTCCATCCCCGCATGTTAAAACGTGGTGTCCAAACGCCCTATGTGTCCATGGCGTTTTTATGTGTCCATCCCCGGCATGTTATCCTACGTGACCAAAAATGTTATTACGTGTTTGTTAAAAAATTGTCCATAACGGGCATGTTATGTGTCCATCCCCGGCGTGTTATCCTATGTGTCCATCCCCGGCGTGTTATGGCTATTGTCCATCCCCGGCATGTTTTATGTGTCCATCCCCGGCATGTTATCCTATTTCCATGCAAACGCGGCAAAACGACGCTAATGCAACGTTTTTTGGTTGGGGCATTTTTAAAAAAGCTGCAAAACTTGCGTTTTTAACGTGACTTTACACAGCTAACGTTACCGGCGTTACGCCACAAAACGTCCCGGGTGTGTGAGGACTTATATAGTTCTGACACACTAATAATTCAATGCTGTATACAGAACACCAAGAACACCAGTCACATCAGTCTCTGCACCAGCAGAGCTTACACTCTAATGTCCCCCACAGTCACACACTATTATTATTATGCCTTTACATAGCTCTGACATATACTGCAGCGCTGTACAGAGGTCACCAAGCCAGTCACATCAGTCTCTGCACCAGCAGAGCTTACACTCTAATGTCCCTCCACAGTCACACACTATTATTATTATTATTATTATGCATTTACATAGCTCTGACATATACTGCAGCGCTGTACAGAGAACACTGGACCATTCATATCAATCTCCAAACCAGAGGAGCTTACACTCTAATGTCCCCCCACAGTCACACACTATTATTATACATTTATATAGCTCTGACATATACCAGGGTGCTGTACAGAGATCACTGAGCCAGTCAGTTCAGTTTCTGTATCAGAGGAGCTTACACTCTAATGTCCCACCACAGTCACACACTATTATTATACATTTATATAGCTATAACATATAATGCAGCGCTGTACAGAGATCACTGAGCCAGTCACATCAGTCTCTGTACCAGCAGAGCTTACACTCTAATGTCCCCCCACAGTCACACACTATTATTATACATTTATATAGCTCTGACATATACCAGGGTGCTGTACAGAGATCACTGAGCCAGTCACATCAGTCTCTGTACCAGCAGAGCTTACACTCTAATGTCCCCCCACAGTCACACACTATTATAGTATTACATTTATATAGCTCTGACATATACCAGGGTGCTGTACAGAGATCACTGAGCCAGTCACATCAGCTTCTGTATCAGAGGAGCTTACACTCTAATGTCCCCACTAAGGGCACATGCTATTATGCATTTATATAGCTTCTGCAGTACAGAACTTTGAGACAGTCATGTCAGTTTTGCACCAGAGGAGCTTACACTCTAATGTCCCCGTGACATTATAGCCAATGTGCTATGAAAACCAATTAGCCTGGAAGTATACCAGGAATGTAGGAGCTCATACAAACTCCATGCAGACATAGCCCTTAGGTATGTCCAGCTAAGGTTGCACAAAAACCAGGCTGATAGCTTGACAAGAACCGTGTAGCAAATACAGTATATTGGAGGGTTTGGCTCAATCCATTGCACCCACCAGAAAAACTGAGTGATCGAATTTGGGTGCACTGTGCTATATGCATTGTCCACAGTGGCTTTGGTCCTTTATAACAAGAAGACGGGTTGTGTAGCACAAGGACACCTCATGAACATCCCTTTTTTTTCTTTTCACATTCATGCATCCATTGCCGAATAAACAGCAGTGTTAAATCTATAGTTAGCAGCTTCTAATTACATCTTTGACTGTGTAGCAGAAATTCGCAGTCAGGACTTCTGGGTGATAAATTTAGCATGACATTGTAACCTAAATCTGGGCATAAAATGACTCGGCATGAAAGGTACATTATGTTACGAAAATTAACGTTGGCTAATCAGTCAACTTCTACGTATCTAATCACTCTTTTCCAAGTTCCCTGTTACCCAGCTTTATTTTTAGCTGGCCCTCTACCTAATTATCTGTGCGTGGGGGGTGAGACCTTGCCAGAGGAAACCCCCCTGGCAAAGCACCTTGTCCCCGTTTTGAGGAGGACAAGTAAAGTTTGTGTTAACTGACTGGTAAAGAAGATGCCGAGCTTCCAAGGCTGCACATCATCGGCAGAGATTGTCCAGCATCCTGACAACTCTGGATAAACCATCCTTTAGTCTTTTCAATTTGAATTAAAGAATGTAAATGTGCCATGGACAAATAAAAATGGCGGGGTGGAGGTCTTGCAGTAGGGTGAGGTGCTCAGCAGTTGGGTCTCCAGGTCAGGATATGTGTATACTGATAGCTAGCCTCTACCTTCTATAAAATAAACGAAGCCTTGAAATCCGTGAGTTGTAGAGATCATTATAAAAACCATGGAATTAAAATAAAAATAATGACCAGAAAAGAAAAGCAGACCGTGAAAACTCTAAGGTCCCCTTACATTGGCTGCCAGTCCGGATGTTTTTCTTTACAATGGTGGTCGGTGGAGAAGTGTCCCCTGCAAAGAATGATCCTTACATTGGTGGTGTATGGAGACGTGTCCCCTTACACTGGCTGCCAGTCCGGATGTTTTTCTTTACAATGGTGGTCGGTGGAGAATTGTCCCCTGCAAAGAATGATCCTTACATTGGTGGTGTATGGAGACGTGTCCCCTTACATTGGTGGTTAGTAGAGAAGTGTCCCTTTACATTGGTGGTCAGTGGTAAAGTGTCTTCTTACAGTGGTAGTCAGTGGGAAGAATGCTCCTTAAATTAGTGCTCAGTGGACAAGTGACCACTTACATTGGTGGTTAGTGGAGAACTGTCCCCTTATATTGGTGGCCAGTGGAGGAGCTTCCCCTTCTATTAGTGGCCAGTGGAGAAGTGTCCCCTTACATTGGTGGTCTCTAGAGAAGTGTCTGCTTACATTGGGGCTCAGTGATAAAGTGTCTTCTTGCATTGATGAATAGAGGGAAGAACACTCCCAACGTTGGTGGTCAGTGGAGAAGTGTCCTCTTAGATTGGTGGTCAGTGAAGATGTGTAACATTACATTGGGGCTCAGTGGTAAAGTGTATTTTCTTCAATTGATGATTAGAGGGAATACCACTCATTACATTAGTGCTCAGTGGAGAAGTGACCACTTACATTGGTGGTTAGTGGAGAACTGTCCCCTTATATTGCTGGCCAGTGGAGGAGTTTCCCCTTCTATTAGTGGCCAGTGGAGAAGTGTCCCCTTACATTGGTGGTCTGTAGAGAAGTTTCTGCTTACATTGGGGCTCAGTGATAAAGTGTCTTCTTGCATTGATGAATAGAGGGAAGAACACTCCTTACGTTGGTGGTCAGTGGAGAAGTGTCCTCTTAGAATGGTGGTCAGTGAAGATGTGTAACCTTACATTGAGGCTCAGTGGTAAAGTGTCTTTTCTTACATTGATGATTAGTGGGAATACCACTCCTTACATTAGTGCTCAGTGGAGAAGTGACCACTTACATTGTTGGTCAGTGGAGAAGTGACCCCTTAACATTGATGCTCAGTGGAAAAAGTATCCCCTTACTTTGGTGATCAGTAGAGAAGTGGCCCCTTACATCGGAGGTCAGTGGAGAAGTGACTCCTCACATTGGTGATCATTTGAGAAATGTTCTCTACATTGTTGGTCAGTGAAGGGCCTTCTTTACACAGGAGGTTAGTAGAGACACGCATCTTACACTTATGGTGAGTGGCAAAGGGTCAGCTCACATTGGTGGAGAGTTGAAAAATGTTGTTTACATTATTAATCGATGAAGAAGATCCTCCTTTACATTGATGGTCAGTGGAAAAGTGCCCTCTATATTGGAGGTTGGTGGAGAAAGCCCCCCTTACATTGGTGGTCAGCATTATGTTTATATTAGTAGGGCAAGGGCCCTCACATTGGTATACCATTAAAGGAAAAAAATATAGTAGTAATTTCAGTTAAGGAATCTCGAGCAACCTCAGCAGGAACCCTAGTTGAGAAAATGGAGAAGGTCCCCCTTACATTATTGGTTAGCAGAGAATGACCTCTTACATTGGTCAGTGGGACAAGAGACCCCCTCACATTGGTCAAAAGTTGAAGAATGTCCTTTACATTACTGATTAATGAAGTTGGCCCTCCTTTACATTGGTGATCAATGGAAAAGTGCCACCTATTTTGACATTAAGTGGAGAAGTGCCACCTTACATTGGCGGTCAGTAGAGAAGAGCCACCTTCATTTATGATAGTAGGACAATGGCCCTCACATTGGTGGACAGTTGAAGAATGTCCTTTACATTACTGATTAATGAAGATGGCCCTCCTTTACACTGGTGATCAATAGAAAAGTGCCACCTATTTTGACATTTAGTGGAGAAGTTCCTCCTTACATTGGCGGTCAGTAGAAAAGAGCCACCTTCATTTCTGAAGTAGGACAATGGCCCTCACATTGGTGGACAGTTGGAGAATGTCCTTTACATTACTGATTAATGAAGATGGCCCTCCTTTACATTGGTGATCAATGGAAAAGTGCCACCTATTTTGACATTTAGTGGAGAAGTGCCACCTTACATTGGCAGTCAGTAGAGAAGAGCCACCTTCATTTCTGATAGTAAGACAATGACCGTCACATTGGTGGACAGTTGAAGGACAAATTTCCTTTACATTAGTGATTTAATTAGAGGTCAATCAAGGAACCCCTAGCAATTTCTGAAGGAACCCTAGTTGAGAAAATGGTGAAGTGCCCAGCTTATATTGGTGGTTAACAGAGAGGGGCTTCTTCTCTGTTAAGTTAGTGGGACAAGAGTCCCCTCACATTAGTGGACAGTGGGACATGAGACCCCTC